CCCAACCCGCAGGCCCCGCCCCGTGCACCCACCAGCCCGGGGCCGCAGCGGTGGGCGCCGGCAGCTACTCACTGGCGAGGATGACCATGTCCATGCCCCAGAAGATGCTCATGATCCAGCCCACCATGACGATGGCCGTGAGGATCTGGATGAGGGCCGCGGCGATGTTCAGCCAGAAGACGCAGCACACGTGCCTGTCTGGGAGGTCGGTGCGGGCTCCGCACAGCACGGTGAAGGCGGAGACGAACGTCCCTGTGAAGGGCCGGAGGGGGCAGCGTCTGAGGTGCCGGGAGAGGGGGCAGGGTGCTGGCCACGGGCCAGGGGGCCTTCGAGAGCCCGGAGGGGAAAGGGCGGGGCCCAGCACCTTGCTGCTCCGCCCAGCGCCTCCTGCCCCCATGCTGGAGAGGCCATTGGACCGCTGATGCAAGGCCAGGGCCCAGGGCCCAGGACAGAGCACAGAGCTGCGGCCGCTGCTGAGGAGACTGCACACCACGCCGGCCCTGCCCAGAGGAGCCCGGGAGCCCCTGCCAGGACAGCGGACAGCAGGCGCCACGCGCCACCTCCGCGTGCCAGTCCAAGGGCCAGAGAGTTTGGAAGGAGGAGCCCATGCCCGGTGCAGACACGGAAGCTCCCCGGGACAAGAGCAGGAAGTGGCCCCCAGCGCACATGGCCACGGCGCCCGGGAGGAGGATCAGGGTCCCCACCTGCACCTCCCGCCCTCCAGGGCCGAGGGCTGAGGGTCTCCTGGGAGCCCACCTTGGCAGCCCCACACGTGCCAGGGGCGGGCCAGGGAGCCTGTGGTTCACTTCGTAGCACAGGCATCGAGCCGCGTGGTAGATCTGTCCACGCTCCTGGCCCCGAGGGGGAGTCCCGGGGCTGTGTGGCTCTACCGATCCGTGCCCTGGGCCAGGCTCTTCCCCACGCGGGCTCGGAGCTCACGGCCACCTTGCAAGGCAGCCGACGCTCCCTAGCGCCCTGTTAATGCCACACGTTGCCGCTCGTTAGTCTTGAACGCAGCACAGATACAGCCACAGTTCTGGAGGCCAGAGGCTGAACTAGATTCTCAGGACTGGGTCTTGCTGGAGAGAGGGGACATAGGTTTCTTTGCCTTTCTAGAAGCTGCCTGCAGCCCTAGGCTTGGGGTCCCTGGTGGCGCAGAGGGTTAAGGTGCAGCTCTACGATGCTACCTGCTCCTTCAGCGTGAGTTCAATCCCCGGCCAGGGAGAGACCCACAGGCCCAGCAGACTTCTCCTGTCTCCCCGCTGCTCCCCTCAGCGGTGCATTTCAGTCAAGCCGCCTGTTCTGCTCCCCACTCTGTCTCTGGTGAGTCCCCTTACCACCCCTGCACCTCTGGCCTGTACCCCAGTTCTGTGTGCATAAATAAATAAATCAGTCTTAAACAGAAAAGCCCGTAGAGTAGCGTCTTCCCTTTGCACTGGCTCTGGCTTCCCTCGGGCGTCTCTCAATGGCTCTGCTTTCTGCCTCCTCCCGAGGAAGCTCGGCTTGGCTCCAGCAGGTAATCCACAGCAATGCCCCTTCTCAAGCCCCTTAACATAGACACACTGTAGAGTCCCTTTGACTATATAGGGTAACACCCCTCAGTTTCCGGGGAGCAGAGTGTGCACACCTTGGAGAGGCACATTTCTGCCCGCCGCAGTCCCCAACCAGGTATTCCCTGCCAGTGCCTTCACCCATAGTCCACAGACCTCTGGTGCCAAGGGCCTGAGACTGTTTTCAGTTTCCAAGCAGCACCCAGAGATGCCCCTCGGCACGCCGGCTCGGAAGCATTGGTTGAAAGAATGTCATTTCAGGGGCGTGCACGGGTGCTCCCTGCCACCCACCGGCTGCTCCAGGCAGACTAGAGCTCCCCTGGATCACTTAGAGATGGAGAAGTGATTTGTTCTTCGTCTTTCCGAGCACAGGCGTCCAGGAAGAAAAATAATGCAGGGTAGACAAGGTGGCCCTCGCCCCCACCCCAGCAGGGAGAAGGCTACAGAGGCTTAAGCCCGCCTCGGCCACTGCTACCCACACCGAGGACTGCTGCCCCTCATCGGAAAGCGCTGGGCGCGTTCTCCACCGCTGCCTGGGTTCTGGCCAGATGCTGATGACCGTGGGGAGCTGACGGTGGGGCAGGGAGGCAGCGGGTAGGAGGCTCCGGGTGGCAAGGCGCTTCCAGGGAGACTGGCACCTTCTTGCCGCCACAGCTGCAGGCTGGGTCCTGCTGGGTCCTGGCTGTTACCGTGCACCGGCTGGAAAGGCATGAAGGAAAGACCAGGCGCTCGCCGTTGCTGCCGCGAGTGAACCTGTCGCCTCTCCTCCTGAGGGCTGGCAAAATAAGGGCAGGCCCCCTTCCGTCGTTCTCCGTGGCACCACGTGACATCAGGTGATGAGTGTGTGTGGAGGCCAGGGTGACCGAAGTCACTAACCAACTTTTTTTAAGATTTGATTTTTGCACACAGAACGGGGGTACAGGCCAGAGGCGCAGGGGGTGAGAGTCTTCACCAGAGACAGAGCGGGGAGCAGAACAGGCAGATGGACTGAAACGCACTGCTGAGGGGAGCAGGCGGGGTCTGCTGGGCCCTGTGGGTCACCTCCGGGCCAGGGATCGAGCCGGCAATGAAGTGGCCACGGCCAGCTCTGTAGTGCTGCGTCCTCACCCCTGTGCCACCAGGGGGACCCCGCTAATTAATGGCACCAGGCTTGCATCAGCCTCCCTGTGCTAGGTAACATGCTTCTGTGCCCTCTGGCTCCCCCAAAGCAAGATTGGGATCCCTCCAATCCGCCGAGATCTCTCATACACCCCCAAACATGGTCCATCTGGATGGACATGCGGGCTGGGGAGCTTACAGAAGAGGGCACCTCCGACACCCCCGGAGGCCCTGGGGCCTCTCCAGGAGGGGAGCTGAGCAAAAATGGAACCACGTGGAATGTCTCGGCTCCCCTGAGCCCGCCCCGCCCCGGCGGGTTCCCGGCTTACAGGCCAGATGTGACCGGGGGTGTGGGGCCCGGAAGGCTGTGGTGGAGCAGCCCAGGCCGGGCAAGGCTGTGAGGGCCGGGTGCTGTCCGCAGCGGCCACAGGCCCAGCGTGAAGGGTGGCCAGTCCAGCAGAAAGCTGGACAAGGGCAGCAGGTGACATTTGCTGGACGGGACACACGGCTTCAGGACTTCTCCCGCCCTCCGGTTTGCAGCCTGCCAGGATGACGTGTCCGTGGATGGGCAGACACAGGTTGAACACAAGCAGCCCTGCCTGGTCGCCGCTACCAGGAGGCTTTCTGAGATCTGAGGTCGGCGCTGTGAAGCCCACGGTGCCTCTCCCAGGGCGGCACCAGCAGCTGTTCCCTGCACAGCTGGACCCCTGAGCCCCGCGTGGACCCCTGGGGTGTCTTTCAGCCACGGGGTGAGCCCAGACCACTGTCACCCAGTGGCCCAGTAAGATCACGCTGCTGAAGGGGAGGACTCCTTCCTCGCCAACTGGCGCCCTGGGGCAAGTCCCCGTGGATCCGGCGCCTGTGGTGCTCAGAGCCGGGTTGGGGGGCTCTGGGAGGGCCAGGCGCTGTCCCCAGGTGCCCACGGTGTGGCCACACACACCGTCACGGAGCCCAGCGCTGCCCGGTGTCCTGCCCTCCAGCTCTGGGCGGCAGAGGCCTGAGGGGCCCGGCAGGAAGACCAGGCCGCGTGTCCGTTTGGGCCAGGTGGCTGGATACCACGTGCTGGCAGCGGACTGTGCCAGAACCCCCGGCCCCGTCCTGGCTGCGTTATCAATACGCCCCAAGGCCCCCATAAGTGACCGCGCTTCTCTCAACCTCAGTTTCCCACCGATGAATTAAGAGGACGATGGAGCCCAACTCAGGTGCGGGGGTTCCGTGCAGGGATGTAAAGGTCGCAGACACCACACACACCCACGAGGGGGCCGGGCCCGAGGGGGGCTCTGAGCCAGACCGGGGACCAGATCTTCCCCAGGAGACGACGCCCGAGCAGACCGGAAGGAGCTGCTCGTTGTGAGTATGTAAGTGGAGCAGAAGAACTCAATGAACCCTGCTGTCGGGCGGCTGGTGGCCAGTGGTGTTACCTTGCACGCCACCTTTTAAAATATTTCCACTAACTGCCGAGTTCAGTATACCAAGCTGGTGAAGCCAGAGGCTCCGAGCTCCTCCATCTGCGCTGGCTAATGCAGCCAGTAAATACGATTATGATGATGCCACGGAAGTCGGGCAGTGCTTTAAGTTCAGTTCCAAAAAGGTATGCCCACTGGACAGGGGGCTGATGACAGTGTTAGTGGATGTGAACAAGTTGTGGGACGTGATGAGCAAAATGCAAACTTTTGCATGGTGGGATGGTCAGTGACTTTTTCTTTTTTCAGAAACAAATTCTCTTTTCCGTTCAAAGGAAGTTTCAGGTCATGCTGAGTGAAGTAAGCCAGAGAGAAAAAGAAAAACACCGGATGGTTTCACTCATCGCAGGAGCATAAAGGACGGGGGGTTGGGGGGGTGGGGGGTGAATAATAATGAGCAGCTATAGACGGGGTGGAGTGGGGAACAGGATCAGAAATGGGGAATGGGGGGGGAGTGCACGGGACTATGGTGCTGGCACACGGGCGATTTGGTGGTGGGAAGCTCACGGGGATTCAACTGAGATGGGAAAAGGCACAAAATGATGCAAAAATAAACTATTATAATCACGTTTAAAAATGTGAAAAACAAAAGGCGTTTCAGACCCCTGCCGTGTTCTGACTCTGCAGGGCTGTCCACCAAGGCTGTCCACCATCTTACTGGCCACAGAGAAGACCACGTGGCAGCCAAGCCACCGCAGAGACAGCTGGCACGCAGACGAGTAGCAGAAAATAGAGGAAGCCGGGTCTCCCACACACGCCCTGGGCTTCCAGGAACGCCGGTGAAGGCGCCCCCACACGAGGGGCCGCCCAGGGAAGCAGTGAAGGGGCTCTCGGGCAGCAGGGGGGCCTGGGCCTACCACGGAGGCAGCGTGAGAGGAGGACTCCAGGCCTAAGAAAGCACGAGTCGCCCCTGCGGATTCGTTTAGGCGGGGTCACGGCGGCAGCGGGAAAGGGGGCGTCCCAGCCGACCTGGGCCCCGGCCTCCCCGACACAGACCCCGGCCTCCCCGGCCTCCTCGGCCTGGGCCCCAGCCTCCCCGACTGGCCTCCCCGGCCTGGGCCCCGGCCTCCCCGACACAGACCCCGGCCTCCCCGGCCTCCTCGGCCTGGGCCCCAGCCTCCCCGACTGGCCTCCCCGGCCTGGGCCCCGGCCTCCCCGAGGCCCGTGGGGCGCGTGGCAGGTGCTCCCTTCCGGCCGGTCTCCCCACGGCCAGGCGACACACCTGCTCCTTCGTGGAGCCTTGCCCGGAAGCGCGGCCACGAGCGGGTCCCCGTGCCAGGGACGAGGACGCTCAGGCTCCTGGGGTCACTTCCTCCAGGCCGGCGACACCGGTCTCCTGTCACAGGGCACGTTCTACACCGCCGCCAGGGCCTGCCCACTGCGGGTTTCTTGGGCTGCAGTGGGTTTAGATGACAGAGAGCTGTGGGTCTCCGTGACTGCAGAAGTCCAGAAAGGCAGAACGGGGCAGTGGTTAGGGTGGGCTCACCTCTTCTGACTATGAACACGGGCAAATTACTCTGTTTCTGCAGCTCTGTGTTTTCCTCAAAACCTTTTAGACTCATTCCTTTAAGTGTAAGCCATTTGTCTAAGTCTTACTAGAGATTACGCATTCAAGTCCACGCAGCCCTGTGCAGAGAACGGCCAGCAAGCGTCTGACAGTCACCAGAGCCGAGCGCTTAGCTCAACAGCCGCCCTTGGGCCAGAGTTTAGCAAAGGAAATGAAACTTGCCTCTCGCCTTCAGAGCTGGGTCCACCACGTAAGCCAGAGGGGTGCCCTCGTCTCCTAGCCCTGACGGCGAGTGACAATCTGAGTTGGCAGGCAGGGGTAGGAAGAAGGTGACATGACCTGGGCACTTGATGGGCAATATTCACTAACAGCTGGACTGTTAGAAATGGAAGCAGAGAAATGGTAAGTTGGATCGTCTTCTGGATGGAGGTGCGGTCGATTGAAAACGCGCCCCAAATCCCTAGACGCTCGTCCACCAAGAGGCCGGGCCCAGTCACCCCACTGTGACCGGGCAACAGAAAACAGAACTAACACTGTGCTGATCTCCTGGGTGAGAGGGTACCAAGCCGCCTGCTTTCTCTACCTGCTCCCCCGTGACCCACCGCTCCGTGGGGAAGCCCAGACTCGTCCG